ATTTTCAAGGCCACCCCACAAATGGACACCCAGCAAAAATATCTGTCATTGAACAACAGGCCACCCCTGAATTATTTTGCACAACTTCATTTAAATCATTCTGACTAGACATTTCTGGAGCAATTGAGGTGGTATTATTTTTTTTAATTGTTTCTCCTTGGTTTTTTCTAATCTTTAATATAAGAGGTAATTTCTAAATATTAAGGGTTTATTTCTGAAATTCAAAAATGTGCAACATATGTATTTCTCTAATACATTTCTCCTTTTTTAAGCCAAGACTTCAGGGGAAGCCCTCCCTGATGTTTGTGTAGTGTGCCTGTTGGAACAGCCAATGCACCCTGTCCATGACCCCCAATCAGTCTGTACTTTCAAAGTTCCCATGTGTGAGTCTTTTTTGAATCAAAGTCTGCTCTGCCAAAGGGTGTGTTTTCTGATGTTTTGCAGTCTCGGTGCTCATCTGCACTCTTCACACCTCGAAGTCTAAATCCACAGCTCAGGGATACCTAGCAGCAAAGTTGGAGGCTGAGTTGTTCCAAAAAGATGACCTAGGAACAGTCCTTCTGATTTCTTCATTGAGAAAACTTGATCGGGTAGTTCTAATTCACACCTGAACCATGTTGGGCAGGGGGGGTGCTTTACCCATCACAGGTGCCAATTACATGGCTGAGAAGCAGACCCAGAGTTTGCCCCTGGAGTAGCCCCCTTCCATTGCATGACCTACCTATTCACTCATTCACTTAGAGTTCATGGGCATCATTCTGTGCCAGGGTGTGCCCTCAGTGCTGGGCGGAGCAAGGCCTCTGTCTTCAGGGGGACAGAAATTTGATCTTTATATCCAGGGGGAGGAGGCAATCAGAAACAAACAAGATTTCCGAGTGTACTGGGTGCCATAGGGATTTCAGCACGTAGATTGATATGACCTAGAGTTGCACAGAGAGGGGCCATTTGAGCTGAAACCTGAAGAATGAAAAAGAAGCAACTATGGGAGGGTCCAAAGAAAGAACTTAGCAGGTAGAGAACTCGTCAGTTGCAAAGAACCGTGTGAAGGGAGGGTGGTGAAGCAGGGGCAAGCGGACTGCTATGCCTTAGGCATGGACAGGGAATGACCCTGCAAGAGCAACAAAGCAGAGGCCAGGCCCAATCCTCACACTCTTGTGCTAAGGGCTTGAATTTTATTGTAGATGCAGCAGAAGACATTGTAGAAGTTGAAACAGAGCCATGTCACCACCTAGTACCTTTCATAAGGAATGTGCTAGCAGGTCTTTGAAAAACAGTCCGGAGTCAGTCAGTCATCCAAGTGAACAACGATGGTGGACCCGGCAGAGCGGAGGCCGGGAGTGGAGCGGAAAGTAGCTCTCGTGTGGGTCACTCATGCAGAGCACTGATGGGGTTTGCTCATGAGTCAGCTGTCCTGGCAATGGAGACGCTCCCTGTGGCCAGCGTCAGACAGTGGGAAGGGAGGAAATGAGGAATTTAGTTCGGAATGAAAGATCTTTTACCCGGAATCAAGGAGATTCTACGGACAACAGTCCTTTCTCACCGTGTCTCAGCGGAATTGCAATCGTCTTCTTTTGCTAAATAAGTATTCATAAGAATCAACTTGCCACTCATCCACTTCACCAAGGCTCACACATGAAGGAAGCTTATTAAACAAATCATCGGGAGAGAAAGAGAGAGAGAGACAGATGCTCATTATCCGGCCCAATCACCCACTTCTGGCTGCCCTCCCTCTCCCACCTCAGCTGCCCGTGGCAGACAAAACCACTTAAGTGAGGTGAGCAGTTCTAAATGTAGAATATTAACATGTGTTTTTAAAAATTACTTGGAACCCGCCGCCATTGTTCTAATACACTGACTTTGACAGATGCTTCGGCACTTTTTTTATGAGGCTCTTCAATGCGTTACCTTATCGGGTGCATAAGCTTTAGTCTGTCCTGCAGAAGAAAACAGACAAGAAGGGTCTCCCAGCACGAGCTACTCTCCTGTAAAGGCGATAGTAAACATGCTAATGCCTAATTAAGCAGAAAATCCTATCTTTACTGCGGGGGAGGCGCTGGCTCCCTCCGACTTCTCTTCTGGGGAATCCATTTAGAAGGACAAAGTGGATTGTGGAATTGAGCTGGTCCAGAGAGCTCAGCTTCCAACTGTCAGCAGAAAAGAAAGAACAATTCTCTCCTCCTTTTGCAAAAATGACTACACAGGCTGGGGTGTGTGTGTGGGGCGGGGGGGGAGTGTGCACACGCACACACATGTCTTTCATCAACCCACACAAAATAACATGAATTACTTCCCAGCTTCCCACTAAGTATCAGGCCCTGTGCTAGGCACTGAAAATACTGAGATGAAAAACCTTAGCAACGCCCTTAGCCACCTGTGATGACAGAAAACCCTCTTTTTTCCCTAAATGCATTCCCTTCTCTGTGTGTGTCTGTGTGTGCATGTGCGCACGCCTTTTTCCTTGTTTCTGTAGTACATTCCCCATTCATGTGGTGGCTATGTCTTAGCCGGAACAGTAGTCTTGGGTCATGTGTGTTGTCCCAGAGCAAGAGTGACAATGCCCCTCTAGTTCTCAGGAGGGATCCCTCTTAGTTGATAAAAGTTGTCCAATTCTTTGAAGCACTTTGGTTGGTTCTGTAACAATTTTGTTTCTTAATTTCGTAACAGATGTTCTCCCTGAACTTAATGATATGACTCCTTTTGCAAACATAAAAATTAGTCCAAGAAAAAAGAAAATTCAGTGAGGATGAGGGGGTCATCTAATTCAGTCCTTCGGCTATTTTTGAACCAGGGTTTTCTTGTAAGCAATGACCACTTATTAATGGTTGTTTGACCAGATCGAGTAGCTTTTGGGTCTGGAAATTAATTTATGGAACTAGAAACCAGCACACCAGTTTCATGAAAAACCCACTTGTCAACTTGCTAGGAGAGCAAAAACACAACACCAAGAGCAATAAAATACTGAGCACGGCCATGAATCTGGCAGCCGGACTCAATTTTTACATTTCATCTTGTTTGATGGCATCTTGCCCTTAAATCGTGAGGTCTTGTCCCCAGAACTCCCACAATTCTCCCCTCCGAGGTGGTTATCCATTTAGTGACATTTCAGTGAACTTCCACTGCTAACCTGTAACCTTGGGGTCTCTGCAATGTTTTCTTATTCAGTTAGTTGGTAATAGAAAGAGAGTGGAGTCTGGTGGTTAAGACCATGGATTCTCTCATCAGACAGGGTGCATGTCATGACTATGATACTAGCTGTGTGGTCTTCAGCAAGTTTATTAACCTGAAAGCCTCCGTTTCCTCATCTGGGAAGTGGAAATAATAATAGTTCCTACTCCATTTAGGTATGAGATGAAATGAAAGAATGTATTTGCAGTGTGGTGAGCATAGGTCTTAGGAGAGTGATTGCTCACTAATATTCCTCCTCAGCAGCAGGAGCCTTTGGGGTTCCTACTGCAGCTGCTTTATCCCCAAACCCCCCTCCCCCATTAAAGGAATATTAGAGTGCTATTCCCCCGCTTCCCTAACCTTCCGCCTGCCTACAGGGAAGACCTCCAATGCATGATCCCCCTTCCCATTCCCTGGTGAATGGGAATATTGCCACTGCCCTGGGGTTTCTCCCACCTGCACTGAGGGGGAGATAGAGGCTCGGAAGGAAGGCACCGCTCTGAGATCATGCAGGCCTTGCAAATCTAAGGCCGGGTCGCCCTTGCTTTGATGTTTCTTTGGTTGCATTTTATCCATGTGGCTCTGAAAAGGGCCAGTGAAGAAAATGAGCACCTGGACACAAATAGTCCCATTCCCCATCTCCACGAATGGCTATTTGCCCATTAATTCCCTCTGCGCCCACCCTCTCATGCCTTCATTTTCCCTATGCAATTACAGGTCCTAAATCCTTTCGGAGAGGGGAAGGCATGCATCCCCAATAGCATTTCGCATCTACAAATCAAATGTAAAATTGGCACCTCCTGACGGTTCCCCACAAATCACAGTGCATTTGAAATTGCAGGCACAAGACAGAGGGAATTTTCCACCGGGTCTGCAAAGGTTTTCATAAAGCTGTTTGAGAATAGTAAGATAGTCCCCAAACCTCCCATTCTGACACCATGTGCTATTATTTTAAAATCATTGTTTGCTGAGCTTACATAATTTTTGGGCTATCAATGGAAGATCTTTTTCAGGACTCCATAATCTCTCTTCCTGCTGTGTGATGCTCTACAAATAAAAATGTAACAAAGGGACACCAGCTATCATGAGTATGAGGCTGTGCATTCAGATTACTTCTGAGCACTCAAAAATGACTTGTTAAATGACCGTATGTCAGTAGACCCAGGCGTCTTGGTAAACCTTATGATGGAGATGCCAAGGGCCAAGTCTTACCTTTCTTATGCACAACGTCCTTCTCGGTAGAGATATGTCTTTAACAGGCTTTGGATTTTAGTCCGGCTTTCCTGAAAGTCACATGCATGAACTTAGCAACTGTCCCATTAAAGGAATATTAGAGTGCTATTCCTTAAACATGACAATCATTAACTTAGCATTCTAGGCATTTGTGAGGAACTATAGATCCTGCCATTTAAGAAGCCAAGGAGGCCCAAGCTGGTTTGGCTCAGTGGATAGAGCGTTGGCCCGCAGACTGAAGGGTCCCAGGTTCGATTCTGGTCAAGGGCACGTACCTTGGTTGCAGGTTCCCCGGCCCTGGTATCTCTCGATGTGTATCTCTCACATGGATGCTTCTCTCTGTCTCTCCCTCTTCCTTACACTCTCTAAAAAATGAATGGAAACATATCCTCGGGTGAGGATTAACAACAACAACAAAAAGAAGCCGAGGAGGGTTAGGTAGCACGAAGGGCATCATTTGGCTTTTCCTGTATCCACTGCCTACCGTTCATGCACGTGTAGACGGATTGCTCTTCGGTGGGATGTGGAAAGCCCTTGTCCCAGTGGAAATCGGGTGGAACCTGTGACCTGGTGTTGATATTTCATCTCTTCTTGTCTTGCAGGCTACGCCCAGGAGGAGCAGCTGAAGGACCAGGAGGAGATAAAAGAGGAAGAGGAAGAGGAGGAAGACAGCGGTTCTGTGGTTCAACTCCAGAGCAGCAATGACCCCGGGACAGACGAGGAGCTAGACATGGGCCCGGAGCCGAAGGGCTGCTTCAGCTACCAGAACTCCCCGGGCAGCCACTTGTCCAACCAGGATGCGGAGAGCGAGTCTCTGCTGAGCGACGCCAGTGACCCCGTGTCCGATGTCAAGAGCGTGTGCGGCCGGGATGCCCCGGACAAGACAGCCGGCGCTCGGCCCAAGCTGCCCGGGGAAGCCCACAACTGCATGGACAAAATGACGGCCGTCTACGCCAACATCTTGTCTGATTCCTACTGGTCGGGCCTGGGCCTGGGCTTCAAGCTGTCCAACAGCGACAGGCGGCATTGTGACACCCGAAATGGCAGCAGCAAGACGGATTTTGATTGGCACCAAGACGCTCTGTCCAAAAGCCTGCAGCAGAACCTGCCCTCCAGGTCCGTGTCGAAGCCCAGCCTGTTCAGCTCGGTGCAGCTGTACCGGCAGAGCAGCAAGGCGTGCGGGAGCGTCTTCACCGGGGCCAGCAGGTTCCGCTGCCGCCAGTGCAGCGCCGCCTACGACACGCTGGTCGAGCTGACCGTGCATATGAACGAGACGGGCCACTACCAAGACGACAACCGCAAAAAGGACAAGCTGCGGCCCCTGAGCTACTCCAAGCCCCGCAAGCGAGCCTTCCAGGACATGGACAAGGAGGACGCCCAGAAGGTGCTGAAGTGCATGTTCTGTGGCGACTCTTTCGACTCCCTTCAGGATTTGAGCGTCCACATGATCAAAACGAAACATTACCAAAAAGTGCCTTTGAAGGAGCCAGTCCCCACCATTTCATCAAAAATGGTCGCTCCGGCGAAGAAACGCGTCTTTGATGTCAACCGGCCGTGTTCCCCGGACTCCACCACGGGGTCGTTCGCAGACTCGTTTTCGTCCCCGAAGAGCAGCAGCCTGCAGCTGTCCTCCAACAACCGCTACGGCTACCAGAACGGCGCCAGCTACACCTGGCAGTTCGAGGCCTGCAAGTCCCAGATCCTAAAGTGCATGGAGTGTGGGAGCTCCCACGACACCTTGCAGCAGCTCACCACCCACATGATGGTCACAGGTCACTTTCTCAAGGTCACCAGCTCTGCCTCCAAGAAAGGGAAGCAGCTGGTGTTAGACCCGCTGGCGGTGGAGAAAATGCAGTCTTTGTCGGACGCGCCGAACAGTGATCCTCTGGCTCCCAAGCCATCAAGTAACTCAGCTTCCGACTGTGCAGCTTCCACGACTGAGATAAAGAAGGAGAGTAAGAAAGAAAAGCCGGAGGAGGCCAACCAGGAGGAGAAAGCCGTGAAAAGCGAGGACTATGGAGACCTTCTACAAAAGCCTTTAGACCCCACAATGAAGTATCAGTACCTGCGGGAGGAGGATCTGGAAGACGGCTCCAAGGGTGGAGGGGACATCCTGAAGTCACTGGAAAACACTGTCACCACCGCCATCAACAAGGCCCAGAATGGGGCTCCCAGCTGGAGCGCGTACCCCAGCATCCACGCCGCCTACCAGCTGTCGGAGGGCACCAAGACCTCCTTGCCTCTGGGCTCCCAGGTGCTGCAGATGCGGCCTAACCTCACCAACAAGTTGAGGCCGATTGCTCCCAAGTGGAAAGTCATGCCCCTGGTTTCCGTGCCCACGAACCTGGCCCCGTACACTCAAGTGAAGAAGGAGCCAGAAGACAGAGAGGAAATGGTGAAGGAGTGTGGGAAGCAAAGTCCCCGCGAAGAGGCGTCATCTTTCAGCCACAACGAGGGCGAGTCCTGCTCCAACAGCGAACCCCCTTCCGAATCCAAAAAGGCTGAGCCTTGTCCCCCGAAGGAGGAGGACAAGCCGATGAAAGAGGGCGGTGAGAAGGAGAAACCCCAGCCCCTGGAGCCCGCGTCTCCCCTCAGCAACGGGTGCGCCCTCGCCAACCACACGTCGGCCCTGCCGTGCATCAACCCGCTCAGCGCGCTGCAGTCCGTCCTGAACAACCACCTGGGCAAAGCCACGGAGCCCCTGCGCTCCCCTTCCTGCTCCAGCCCCAGCTCAAGCACAATCTCTATGTTTCACAAGTCGAGTCTCGGTGTCATGGACAAGCCGGCCTTGAGTCCTGCCACTGGGAGGCCGGCCAGCATGTCCAGGCGCTACTTGTTTGAGAACAACGATCAGCCCATCGACCTGACCAAGTCCAAAAGCAAGAAAGCCGAGTCCTTGCAAGCACAATCCTGCACGTCCCCGCCTCAGAAGCATGCTCTGTCTGACATCGCCGACATGGTCAAAGTCCTCCCCAAAGCCACCACCCCGAAGCCCGCCGCTTCCTCCAGGGTCCCGCCCGTGAAGCTGGAAGTGGACGTCAGGCGCTTCGAGGACGTCTCCAGTGAAGTCTCGACGTTGCATAAAAGAAAGGGCCGGCAGTCCAACTGGAACCCTCAGCACCTTCTGATCCTGCAGGCTCAGTTTGCCTCCAGCCTCTTCCAGACATCGGAGGGCAAGTACCTGCTGTCCGACCTGGGCCCCCAAGAGCGAATGCAGATCTCAAAGTTTACGGGACTCTCGATGACCACCATCAGCCACTGGCTGGCCAATGTCAAGTACCAGCTTAGGAAAACGGGAGGGACGAAATTTCTGAAAAACATGGACAAAGGCCACCCCATCTTTTATTGTAGTGACTGTGCCTCCCAGTTCAGAACCCCTTCAACCTACATCAGCCACTTAGAATCTCACCTCGGTTTCCAAATGAAGGACATGACCCGCATGGCCGTGGAGCAGCAAGGCAAGGTGGACCAAGAGATCTCCCGGGTGTCGTCGGCTCAGAGGTCTCCGGAAACCATAGCTGGCGAAGAGGACACAGACTCTAAGTTCAAGTGTAAGTTGTGCTCTCGGACATTTGTGAGCAAACATGCAGTAAAACTCCACCTAAGCAAAACGCACAGCAAGTCACCCGAACACCACTCTCAGTTTGTAACAGACGTGGACGAAGAATAGCTCTGCAGGTATGGGTTTGCTCCCAGGTGGTGTGACGGTGACCTTGGAGGAGATGGGTCTCTTAGGCAGCTAACGTCTCCCCGTACCAGAGGCCAGTAGCCTGCTGGAATAAGACTTAGTTTTACAAAGACTAGAACCTGATAAATAAGTCCTATCTGTTCTCTCGTTCTCTCCACTGTAGACTTGGGCATTAGCATGAAATGGGTTTAGGGAGATGGAGCTCACAGGTTCCCGCTTCATGATTCGTGATCCCCATAGTTTCCCAAGGCCCAGCTTGCCAAGGCCGCCCAAGGCTACACGTCATTTTAATTAATAAGTACTAATTTCTCTCCCATCCCATTTCACCACCTCCCCTGCCCATAGGAATGCTAATGACTTAGAAAGTGAGACAGAAAAGGCCATCCACAGAATAAAGACTGTAGAGTTCCTGGGGGCAGCCACTGTGCAGATTTCTTAATCAGCTTATGAGTACTTTAAAGTTGTCTTTATCATCATTACTTGTAATCAATGCTTTCTGCAGCTACTGTCAGCACTCGCTCCCTTCTGCCCCCTTCCCTTTGCTCATTCCTCCCTTAGGCTTCCCGTGAATGAGCATCTGCCCTGAAGTCAGATGGTAGAAAATAGTATTCTCTGCACAACACTGAGATGAAAAGAGAGGAGGCGTATCTTCTTCTCTCATCTTCCATTTTCCCTAGGATAGACTAATTCCTGAGTTCACCTGTAAGGAAGATGGGTGTGACGCATGCCCTTGACATTGTATTTTACAGAAAGAAGCAGGTGATTTTCTGCCCACCCATGGCCAATGCGCATGGGTCCCCCAGCTTCAAGATGACTGGCATCATGTATCATAGAAGCTCTGTGCCTTGTAGAGTCACCAGTGCCCAGACTGTCAATGTTGTCCCAGAAAGAGGACGGAGGCCAAGGTCAGATACCTTGGCAGACTAGTCACACTGGCCATCTTCAAGTATGTTCGAGGCTGGGTCTTAAATCCCTTTTCTCTCAGTTTGTATCTTCTCTGCTGCCTTTTCTCTTCCCTCCAACATGACACCGCCCCATGTGTTAGGGACCCTCACATATATTCAGGGTGTCTTTCACCACAGGCCACACCCCACGCTGACTTAAAGCTTTGGCATTTGCTGGTCCAGTCTATGTTATGCTAGGTTACAGATGAGCTCTTTTGATTATTCACAATAAGACATGAACAGCTATGAATAACAAGGTAGAAGCCCTCATTGTCTCCAATGGTCAGAGTGTTTGTTTTTCAATAGGAGGCTTTCAGGTCAAGCCACAGAGGTATGAGCACTAGCAGGGTCCAGGTGGAGACAGGTGTGTATATATCGTGGCTTCAGGCTCACTTCCCAATAGGGAGGGAGGCTGGCAGAGTATGAGATGGTCACATGAAATAAAGGGTTAAAACGTCGGATCTGGGACTTTCAGTGAAAATATCTAAGACCTTCTGATAAAGGGTATGCCATCCCATAATTCCAATGGCTTCTGGGCTCCAATGAAGACTATTGTTTTGTTTGCATGTTTTTATCATGATAATTAAAACGTGTTACTGGCAGATTCATCTCTTGCTTTCTAAGCATGATTTGTTCAGCTCGTACTATTGAAAGAAACGCTGAAAACCATCTATTGAATCTACACATGAGCTTGGGGCTCAGCAAATCTATTTATTTGCTCTATAACATTTTAAGTTTTATGTAACTTGCTATTACACTTTTCTGGTCCTTCCAAAAAAATGGTGAATATACACAGAATATCCAAAGAGAAGAGACATGTTGCCAATCCCATAGTAGTAGGTTCAAACCATGGTGAAAAGGACAAATAGGTAATGTTTATTTGTGCTACAATAAAGACCAATTTTCCACCTGCTAGGTTTGTAATCATTTTTTAAATTAATATCACTGCCTAAATATTGTGATGTGGAAGTGGAGAGGGGGGAGAAAAAAAAAACTAGCCATGGTCAAAATCCGAAATGTGCTTACCCATTCTAGGGAAGCAAAGGTAAACCAATAGTTGGGGGGAAACCCACACAAAAGGTACTGAAAGCTGTTAAATGCGTAGATAGGAGAGCTCTGTTCCTCATCTCTCTGCATTTGTTCAGGAATAAATATCTCTGGTTTGGCCTTTTGGACCAATAACCCATATAACAGGGTTATCCTTCTGTGAAATCTTGATAGAAACACCGTGAGTCTGAGATTCTGAGGGTGGCACTGCAGAAACACAGGTTTGAGTATTTGGGACTCATTTCAAGCCATGGGAGTGCGCATGTGTTCTGTGACCATGAAATCGGTGAGGGTGTTGAGTGTGTTTATGGTGTTCTAAACATAGGCCCATCTGCCGGAATGGTTTTCCATGGCACAAAGGTGGCTTTCAGAGGCTTTGGTCACTTAGAAAAGAATCCCTGAGCCCCCGGATCCTCTTTTGGGACAATATTTATGCTAGACCTTGCTCACTGCTTAGAATGATGCATATATGGTTTTAAATGATCACCGAACGAGATCACTGCTATCTGGAACTCTGATTCTCATTGGTGTGCGCAACAGCATAAATCGCACAAAATGACGGAGAGTTTTAGAAAGCATGATCAAGATTTTGCGAGAAAGTTGGGGGCTTTACTGTATCTACATTCCCTATAGGATGCCAATTTTGACCTGAATTTTCTTTCCTTTCTTGGGTATGTCTTAAATCCTGCAAATTGCTCTGCCAAATGTTAAATACCACTTTTCATTAAATAATAATTAGCAAATATTAAATGTGCATCCTTATTTTAGGAGAGCAGTAATCTGAAAGTATTTCAATTGGTATTTGTATATACTGTACCTTTAAAAACCACATGCTTTAAACAATAGAAATTAAATAAAAAGCAAATTAACGAATCTAAAATTCATAAGGACTTGAAATTTTAGTCATTACCCTGTGATATGGTGTATACATTTAGCAGCACATTCAGCCTTGAAATCGGTGGCAGGAATGAATGAGCTGCCACCTTTGATGTGGATGATTTAATAAAAATCCATGTTCATGGTGAACAGCATGTAAGGTTGCCAGATAAAACACAGGATGTCCGGTTTAATTCGAAGTTCAAATAACTGAAAAACATGGTGTGGTTTTTTTTTTTTTTTGGGGGGGGGGGGGGTTCAGTTAAAATGTGGTTTTTTTTCAGTTCAGGATAAGTGTGCCCCAAATAGTACAGTAGCCATATTTTTATACTAAAAAAAAAAATCATTGTTTATCTGAGATTCAAATTTAAGTGGGAATTCTGTATTTTTATTGGCTAAATCTGGCAACCCTGACAACATGGATTATCTGATGATCAGGAAGAGCAAAATGGCTAGTCTAATTTTTTTTTAATTACAGTTGACATATAATAGTGTATTAATTTTAGATGTACAACATAGTGATGAGACATTTATATAACTTACAAAGTCTAATGCCCACCTAACATCATACAAAGTTATTACAATACTAGAGGCCCAATGCACAAAATTCATGCAAGGGTAGGCATTCCTTCCCCCATCTGCCACCTGGGCTTCCCTCACAGCCTCGGCTTCATCTGGAAGGTTGTCCAGAAGGACATCTGGTCTAATTAGCATATTACACTTTTATTATTATAGATTATTGACTATATTCCCTATGCTATGCTTTACATTCCCGCGACTGTTTTTATAACTGGCCATTTGTACTTCTTAATCCCTCCCCATTTTCACCCATCCCCCCAACCCCACTCCCATCTGGCAACCACCAATTTGTTTTCTGTATTTATGAGTGTATTTCTATTGTGTTTGTTCATTTCTTTTGTTTTTTAGATTTCACATATAAGTAAAAGCATATGGTATTGGTCTTTGTCTGACTTATTTCACTTAGCACGATACCTTCTAGGTTCATCCATTTTATTGCAGATGGTACAATTTCACCCTTTTTTTATGGCTGAGTAAGATTCCATTGTATACATGCACCATGTCTTCTTCATCCAATCTCCTATTGATGGTCACCTAGGTTGCTCCCATATCTTGGCTATTGTAAGTAACGTTGCAATGAACCTAGCAATGCGCATGTCTTTTTAAATTAGTGTTTTGGATTTCTTTGGATAGATACCCAGAAGTGGAATTACTGGGTCATAGGTAGTTCTATTTTTAATTTTTTGAGGAACCTCTATACTTTTTTCCATAGTGGCTGCACCAATTTATAATCCCACCAATGAGGGTTCTCCTTTCTTCACATCTTCACCAACAATGTTGTTTATTTATTGTTATATGTGCTGGACTCATTCATATCTATAAGAGGCATGGACCTTCCTTCAACCATTAAATAAATCTTGCCTTCCCTCCCTTCTTCCTTCCTTCCTTCTCTCCTTCCCTCCCTTCTTCCATCCTTCCTTCCTTTCTGACCCCGCACCCCCCTGCATTGTTTTCACCCTTCTCATCACATGAGTGGTGCTTTGGCTCCACAGCAGCTTCAAGTCCACATGGACATGTAGTGGTGAACCAGCAGCTGTGCTGACTGTATAGCAGCCCAAGTGCCGGGCCTGCCCCAGGCACTTGATGAACATTTTTCACTGTATTCCCACAACAGCCTGTGCGGGAGAGGTGGATCCAACCAAATTCCAGGAGAGGAAATGGAGGCAGAGAGTCTGCGTGAATTCCCCAAGATTCCACAATGTCTGAGCCTCACTCGTTTTCACCTAGCTAGAAAGCCATCACTCCATGCCCGGCACAGTGCTGGTCCCAGGGGATGAACCAGTGGCCAGAACAAGAGAACGCCTTTGAGCCCAGTGACAGACATAGATGGGCAGGCTGGGGGAAACATTGAATGGAGCCCATGGGAGGGCATCTGCCCACTTCAAGGGAAGTGAAGAGGGGACTGGTGTTTAGGAGG